TTTGTAGTTTGTTTTTTATTTTTGTTTGCTTGGTGTGTGTATGTGTGTGTGTGTGTGTATGTGTGTTTATGACTGCAGATCACAGCTCTCAGGGGTCTTGTTTCTTTAGCTTGGAGTTTCTCTTCCAGCAGTATGCTTAGAGATGCAAACTGTGTGTACTGCTATAAACTTGACTTTTAGTTTCATAGATTATCTTAGGTTTTTTAGTCTTCTACTGGATTTCTCATTCACCTACATTTTTCTAAATTAGGTAGCTAGTTGCAGGGTATAAGTCTTTGAAGCCATTGTATTTCAAAATACAACTAGACTTAATAAGCTCTTCAAGGACAGGGACTCTGTTACAATTCCAGTGCCTAGCATCCACACTCAATACAGCAACAAAATTAGTGGGGACAGGAAGACTTGTTCTGCTTCCTTGCAGAGTTTATTGATGCATTCTGCAGCTATTTACTCAGCACCTTTATCTACCAGGCACTGTGATAGGTTTTGGGCATGAAGAGGTGAGCAGATAAGCAGTTCCTGCTGGCCTGGTGCAGAACTCAGTCCAGCAGGTTTGGGAGGCTGTTTTCACTGCTGAGATGGAGAGACTCCTTCAGTTTATCCAAAGTAATGGAGGATTTTGCTTGTAAGGACACTGAAGGATTAAAGAAGATTTGAATCAGTTACACTTCTGGGTCTCTTGGGAGCGTAGGAACTAAACGAATCTTGTGGAATATAGTTTGGCAACTGAAGAGATCTCTGGTTATACAAGCACAAAGATATTCATAGGAACATAGGACTCAGTGTTCCACTGCAGTAGTGTTGGGGAGAAAGTCAAACCTTATATAAATATTTTTGTCTTTTTTCCTTGGGGATTCACTAAGATCTTAGGTTATATTCTCTTAGAAATGCTAGGATTTTACTCTGCTCTTAAATCATATTGTTTGTTTCTCCAGGCATGTAATATATTTCCTATTTTTTTCCTTCTATCCTAGTCTCTAGTTTTCTCTCTTTCTGTGTGGGTGTGTGTGTGGGTGTGTGTGTGTGTCTGTGTGTGTCTGTGTGTGTGTGTATTCACCGAATATCCACAGAATAAGAAAATTTAAAGGTAAAAACCAAAAATCCGAGAAAATTTAATTTGACTTGTCACATTTTAAAACACCTTCATCTGTTAATATTTTTTGGAAATTTTTATTGCTGTTTATTTTGTATATTTAAAAAGTGGTAATATTAGTTTACACTAAATAAGCGTCAGTCTCTTACATTTGAATAGGAATTTATAATTGACAGGTACCTCCAAAGATGTTTATGTTTTTTTTGTTTTTGAGACAGAGTCCTGCTCTGTTGCCCAGGCTGGAGTGCAGTAGTGCGATCTCCACTCACTGCAACTTCCGACTCCTGGGTTCAAGCAATTCTTTTGCGTCAGCCTCCTGAGCAGCTGGGATTACAGGTGCCCACCACTGTGCCCAGCTAATTTTTTAAAAAAAATTTTAGGATAGAGATGGAGTTTCTCCATGTTGGCCCGGCTGGTCTTGAACTCCTGACCTCAGGTGATCTGCCTACCTCGGCCTCCCTAAGTGCTGGGATTACTGGGATTACGTGGTGGCCCATGCCTGGCCAGGTTTTTTTCTTCAGAAAAACCCCCTGAAAGAAGGAGGACAGATCTTGCTTCCATATATCACAAGTTGAAAATGTAAGTCAAGGTTACATGGTTCATCTATGCCATCAGAAGGCAGTGTGGCCAGTATTAGAGCCCAAGGCTCCTGTCTGCCAGTTGGGTGGTCTGTCCATACCCCACGCCTCACCCCCTCCCTGCCAGTGATGTGGAAGGTCGGAATGTTGGCGGTGCCCATCCTCACCTTCCTGCTCACCTTCCCTGATTTAGGTTCCTGAGAGAGAAGACCAGGCATAGGTTGGCCGGATGCACATTTCTTTTTTTCCAGTAAAGCCTCCACCCTGATTCCCAGCCTTCTCTATTTTGGTAATTAGACTAAAAAACTTGGAAAAATGGTGAAGGTGACCATTAACTTGCTGAAAGTTTGTACAGGAAACATTTGTGTTTCATCCCTGCAAGTGGAAAGGAGGGCTATGGGTATGAGAGGTTGGATTTTTGATGATTGTTCTCAAAACCCAGTGTTTACCTTAACTACTGCATACCACTTGCTTGGTGCACCCATTTTCTTAACTGTCCAATCCCATGCCTTATTAACTGTCGGGTAATGAAAATCATAGACGTGTCTACCCGCAATTTAGAAATTGACAGAATGTCTAGCCAAAATATCAAGGAGAAATAAAGTAAGATAATTTATAGCAAGTAAAATGTGTTTCAGTAGGTATGTGCTTCCACATGTACTCAAGAAGACAATGCAGTTAGATTGTCCCACCTAGATGTAGAGGCTCTATAAAAGCTGCAAACGGAGTCTGATGAAAAAGCATTGTACTAGCAATCCAAATACCATAAGGAGCACTGTAGTAGTCACATGGTTTTCTGAAATGGTGAACATCTATTAGTAAAATTCCAAACAAAGCAAGAAACAAAACACACAAAAAACCCAAATTTGATTTATGTTGTCATTGTATTGTAGAAAATTTGATGTATATTAAAGCTGCATAAATGAGTCATGTGTATATAAAGAGCTGTATTAGGATTTAGGCCCAGATGGTTATAAATGGACTTTTTTTTTTTTTTTTTTGCCAATGTGAATGCCCAGTAGCATGTTTTAAAAGTCATGCAGGACAAAAGTTGTAGGATGCAGGACAGTTCTTTATTGTGCAGGATTGTTGTGGAGTTTGCCTGACAAAAGCCAAGGAAGGGTGTCCTCTGAATTACTGTGACAATCAAAATTGCCCCCACAAATTTAGAAAACATCTTCTAGATAGCGATGCCACCTTTATGGAAAACGTCTGCCTTAAACACTTCAGAAAGACACAGAAACCTAAGGACCCCAGGAAAACAAAGACTTCCCGACCTTTCAAACCAGGAGCCCATAGTCTTGTGGCTTCATCATCTAGAGAGGCTGGAGGGGGCGGGGTGGGGGGCAGAGAATGTCTACTGTATTTTTGCCCCAAGGCTGAGAGAAATTTTTAAACCTTTATCTTGCCTGTATCTGCTTGCACTCTCTGTTCTGCATTCCTGTGGTTGCATTTTTTTGCATTTTGTTTCCATTCACTGTCCTTGTAGCTTGCTGGGGAGGCACTCTTTAGACTAACTTTAATCGTTGCAAAAAAGGGGTTTGAAAACTGATGGGCCTTTGTGTATATGTGTAGTAAAATATACATAACACAATTTACCTGATGCAAGTTTTTAATGTAAGTAATTTGTGACTGTGCAAATATATGACTAAAGTATTGTGGTATATAAATAGGAAATATTGTATGTCTTTCAGTCACTTTGGAGGATGTAATTTTGTTATAAATGATAATATCTTGATAATTGGGTTTATGAATTTCACAAAGTTAATCTTTAATTGTAGTGAAGATCACAAAGGAAGATAATATTCACCTCTTACTGTATGATTTCAGGAATCTGTATTTTCACTTTCTGTTCTCTCTGAGGCAGCGTTTTGATGCAAGATACTCGTAAATTCAGATTCTCCAGCTCTGATACAGAGTGACTGTGTGATCTAAAACAAATTAATAAATTTCTCTGAGACTTACTGTAAAATGTAGTCATCAGTTGTATGAAGATGCTGATTTTTTTTTTTTTTTTTTTTTTTTTTTGCGACTGAGTTTCATTGTGTCAGCCAGCCTGGAGTGTAGTGGCGCGATCTCGGCTCACTGCAACCTCTGCCTCCCGGGTTCAAGTGATTCTCCTGCCCCAGCCTCCCAAGTAGCTGGGATTACAGGCACCTGACACCATGCCGGGCTAATTTTTGTAGTTTTTAGTAGAAATGGAGTTTCCCCATGTTGGCCAGGCTGGTCTCAAACTCCTGACCTCAGGTGATCTGCTCACCTCGACGTCCCAAAGTGTTGGGATTACAGACGTGAGCCACCGCACCTGGCCAAAGATGCTGATATTTGATAGCATGATTGTCAGGATTAATGCACTACACATCTGACATAGTTTTATTATAGTACTTGTTCCTGTGCATACATATTTTTCATGCAGTGCAATCATACTGCTGATAAAAATTTTGTCTTCTCCTTTTACTTGACCTAATGTTTCCATAGTGTAAACAAATTTCATAATTACTCTTCTAAAAGTATTGAAGTAGACTTATGACATTCTGTTACCAAAATATACTGCATAGTACATTATGTCCTTCCTTTATATAAAATGAACCAGAAATGTGCCTGCTTCTCTTGAGAAAGAAAGGTTTTTAAAAACCTCGGTTCTTGAGATAACTATGTCATCAAAACCAAGAAGAAACAGAGCTGAGTTGAGTCGGAGGAGTGGGCAGATGGTAGGCTTGCCAGCTGAGTGGTGCTGAGATTGCAGCCTTCAGTGGACAGATTTGCGTGTTATGGACATTTGGATTGCACAAAAATCGTCAGAACTATGAATCTGAGACTTTCAAGGATATACTATCCTTCAGCTAAAGATGATTTCAACATACATGAGCAATTTCAGTTGTGTTTTCTAATTTTATCATTTAAAAAATGATGCTGCTGAATAGATTTATTCATACATTGCTCTTTCCTTCACTAGTAGTAGTACTTTAGGTTAAATCTCTAGTAGATTTACCCTATTAAGTGACACAAATCTTTTATAGTACTTGATGTAATTGCCAAATTGTTTTTTAAAGGTATTGTATCTCTTTATATGGTCCCCACGTAAGTAATTTTAGCTGTCTATAACTAGGGATTTTTCTTTTAAAGTGCTAATTTAATAGGTTGAATATTGGTTTCAATTTATATTTATTTGATTATTAATGAATTTCAATATTTTTGTATATTTATGGTGTTTCCTCTTATTTATTCATCTTTTTTTTAGTTAAATTATAAGATCATTTACCAATTTAAGCCTTTTCAGGGAAAATTAGACTTTTAATCTAATCATATTATTCTGCTTTTTCTTTTAGCTCCGGTAATAAACCGATTCACAAGGCGTGCCTCAGGTAAGTCTGATTATATTATAGATTTTGTTTACTAATAGTGACATTTTAAAAAGATAATATTGGACAAGAAGTTACAAAGAATAATTGCTGTATAGTAAACCTTTATTTGTCAGTTATTTTCCCCAGAAAACACAACTATCTGGTATAATCACTATCTAGGAAGCAATTGAAAATGCCCTCTGAGTGGCTACACTGAAAGTCACACTGTGTACTAAACTGGTGGGCCTTTTTAAATGGAGACTGTCAGCCTAGGGTGTTATTCTTGCTCTTGATAGAATTACTACCTGCATAATTGTGTGATTTACCAGCCATAATCTAGAAGCAGTGATTTAGCAGATGAGTAAAGGACACCTTAGAAACAGTGATGAGTGTTTGTTTTTTTGTTTGTTGGTTTGTTTTTATAAGAGGGTTTTTAATAAGGGACAGGAGAACTCTTAAAATGCAGATATAAGAACGTGTCATTATGGGGCCATTTAGAATAGGAGCAAATTGCTTCATGTTTGTTTGTGCCCCTGAGGCTATTTCTGGTTTAAATATACCACAGTACCCTAATGTAGTCAACTTGATAGGCCTTAGCCATTAACAAGGGCTTACATTAGGTTCAGTATACTGTGTACTATTTAAACTGCTGGGGAGGTATGAGACAGAATTAAGACCACTTCTATCCAAAATGGTTTAAGTAAAATGAGTTTGGGCATTGAGATAAACTGTTATTTAGAAAAATCACCATATGGAATATCTTCTCTGAATAAGAGGACAGATGAAGTGAGGGTAATATTTGATTTGAAAAAATTACTCTTTAAGTATACCTGGAAATTTTTTGTTAAACCTAAGATAAACATTTCACACAGATCATCTTTGGAGTTTATATAATATGAATGAGTCATTTATTTCACAATATTACCTTATTTATACCTGTGCTATAATATTAAAGACATTTTAATGTTGAATTTTATTTTTGATTTGTCGGCAGTTACTGGTATAATTTACTCTTGTTATATAGTGAACAGGTTTATAAGGATAATGTGCTACATTGGAATAACATCTGCTTTATCATTCTGATTTTTTTGTCATCTCAAGGCATATTTATTTTAAATGTTGAAAACAACTTTAGATTGTAATGCCTTTTGTGGAATGAGAGGTTATGTTTATGTCAGAAAGGCATCAAATTTTATCCCAAAGAAGAACTATCAAGTATGATCATATTCTAGTGTAGTTGTTCTTTATGAGCAGTGGTGGGAACAAGGGAGGAAGAAGAGAGAATCAGTATTCTGATGCCTTGTCTTCATGAGGTGAAATTCTTTCAATAGAAACACAGCTAAGAATCATAGACTAAATAATCACCCTTTCTACCTCAAAATAAATGTCTCAAACCTTATGACATGTGACATTTATTTCTGGGCATGTTCCATTAGTATTTGTTGTACAATATATGGATCATTGGCCAGGCGCTGCGACTCACGCCTGTAATCCCAGCACTTTGGGAGGCTGAGGAGGGCGGATCACGAGGTCAGGAGATTGAGACCATCTTGGCTAACATGGTGAAACCCCATGTCTACTAAAAATGCAAAACCAAGATTAGCTGGGAGTAGTGGCGGGCTCCTGTAGTCCCAGCTACTCAGGAGGCTGAGGCAGGAGAATGGCGTGAACCTGGGAGGCAGAGCTTGCAGTGAGCCAAGATCGTGCCGCTGCACCCCTGCCTGGGCGACAGGGCGAGACTCCATCTCAAAAAGAATTTAATTGATAGATCAGGGGCTCCAGGGTATAGGTTAGTTTTGAAATGCCGTTATTTTATACCCCACCCCCATGTGTGTCCGTGCGTTTTAGCAAGATTTTGGCCGGGCGCGGTGGCTCAAGCCTGTAATCCCAGCACTTTGGGAGGCCAAGACGGGTGGATCACGAGGTCAGGAGATCGAGACCATCCTGGCTAACACGGTGAAACCCCGTCTCTACTAAGAAATACAAAAAAAACTAGCCGGGCGAGGTGGCGGGCGCCTGTAGTCCCAGCTACTCGGGAGGCTGAGGCCGGAGAATGGCGTGAACCCAGGAGGCGGAGCTTGCAGTGACCCGAGATCCGGCCACTGCACTCCAGCCTGGGCTACAGAGCGAGACTCCGTCTCAAAAAAAAAAAAAAAAAAAAAAAAAAAGACTTGGCCAGAAATGTAGAGATGATGTAATGCCACAAACAAATACACATTAAAATCAAATGTTGCATTTATTCCCAGAATGACAGGTAACAAGAAATGTCAGTGAAAACAACAGGAAACAATTTGGTATAAATAAGATGATACCAAGTTCCGGAGTCACGCTATATATAGCAGTAAGCCTTAAAAGGAGTAAAATTGTTATCCCAATAATATAATATGCTGGAAACCATTAGGAGAATGAATCTTGACATTAATTATTAGAAAAGAGAGCTAACTTATAGAGTACCAGTGATGGATCAGGCACTTTACTCAGCGTTTTATATACAGTTTTAGTCTTTCAGGCAAGGAAAATAAAATTATTTAATACTTTGGATTAAAAAAGCAATGGTATGAGAAAAAAGGGAAGAGGATTTATTTAATCATCTACTTGTCTGTATTTTATTTGAGACTTTATTTCTTACAAAAGTTTGTCTAAAACTTTTTTGGCAAAGAATATAGAAACAGTCTTAAGGCATCCTGAGGAGGAAATGCTACAGTTTTTTTGTTAATTTAATTTAGTGGCTAATGTGAGGTTTAGTAGTAGAGATGCACTTTTTTAAAAGTAACATTTCCTGAAAATGAAAAAGAAATGAGTATCTTCTCAAAATGCAGTCAATAGTATTTGATAATTCAAAAGATTTCTTATGATACCTTTTCTGACTGAGTTTTATTTCAGAGATACTTTTTCTTTTCATAACCCATAGAACTTTAATGTAAGAATGGTAATTTAGGGGAAGAAAGTAAGTCAGGTAAAATCAACCAGACGTCTGTACGACATAGAGTTTGTTTCTTGTTCATCTATTTTTAAATTAAAGTTACAACAGTAAATGCTATATATATATTACAACAAAAATACCAAATGTGTAGTGCTAGGTGTTCAGTCATTATTGATTCAAAAGAAAAAATTACTATGAGTTATAATTAATAACTCATTAACTGACTTTCCTAAATCTGAGTTTTTGGCTTTTGATATTCATACTGCATTTATCAAACATAAATATTTCAAACCTGAATAATTTAAACGAAACATTTCCCCTTTGTATACCTTTTTCTTTTGTTGTGAAGATGAGAGGAATGTTTATGCTTAACAGATACATTCTTTAGGATTATTGTTACACTTTTAAGAACACTATTTGTGCTATAGTCTCTTGTCTTCTTCATGTGTTCAGTGCTGGCCCACAAACCTGTCAGTTTTTATTATTGTAAGTGGAAGGAATCAGTTTCACTCAGTATTTTCAAACAGAATTCCTAGTATCTTAAGAGTTTGTAGAGGCCTCAGGGTTGTATAAGCCAGCATCTTACTTGGTACAGGAGTGCAAGGCACGTAAAGAGCATGACTAATGGAGAGAAGCATAGATGGGCACCAGAAGAATAGGACCCAACTTTACTGATTAGATTGGATAAGTTCCACAGAACATGATGAAAAACTGTCAGATTTCTTCTGAATTCCAGATATATCTCTGATATAATCCTGACAGCACCCCATAACCTTATTTTTAAACAGTACCTCGTAGTCCCATTTTTAAACAAAAGAAAAAGAAATACTGCTTTTGGTCTCTTAAAATGCTCTTCAGCTCTTAATATCCCTTCTTATCAGTACATCCTTAATACAGAGAGGCCTGTTGTGGTGGCTCACACCTGTAATCCCAGAACTTTGGGAGGCCATGGTGGGTGGATCACTAGAGGTCAGGAGTTCGAGACCAGCCTGGCCAACTTAGTGAAACCCCTTCTTTACCAAAAAATACAAAAATTAGTCGGGCGTGGTGGTGTTTGCCTATAGTCCCAGTTACTTGGGAGGCTAAGGCAGGAGATTCACTTGAAGCCTGGAGGTGGAGGTTACACTGAGCTGAGATTGTGCCACTCACTTCAACCTGGGCGACAGAGTGAGACTGTCTCAAAAAATAAAATAAAATAACAGAGAAATCATTATCCATAATCCATTTTATTTTATTTGTTTTTGAGATGGAGTCTTGCTTTGTTGCCCAGGCTGGAGTGCAGTGGCATGATCTTGGTTCACTGCAACCTCCGCCCTCCCAAGTTCAAGTGATTCTCTCAAGTAGCTGGGACTACAGGCGTACGCCACCATGCCTGGCTAATTTTTGTATTTTTAATAGGGACGAGGTTTTACTGTGTTGGCCATGCTGGTCTTGAACTCCTGACCTCGGGTGATCCACCTGCCTTGGCCTCCCAAAGTGCCGGGATTGTAGGTGTGAGCCACTGCACCTGGCCACATAATCCATTTTACAATATGGGCTTTTTGTTTTTTGGAAGATGATTATTTTTGGTGGAAAATTGAAATAATATATCATTTGTTGTTGTGAGTATTAAAAATTACTGGCGGTGGCTGGGCACTGTGGTTCACACCTGTAATTTTGCCACTTTGGGAGTCTGAGGCAGGTGGATCACCTGAGATTGGGAGTTCCACACCAGCCTGGCCAACATGGTAAAACCCTGTCTCTACTAAAAATACAAAAATTAGCTGGGCTTGGTGGAGGGCGCCTGTAATCCAGCTACTTGCCAAGAATTGCGGTGCGAGATTCGCTTGAACCTGGGAGACAGAGGTTGCAGTGAGCTGAGATTGCGCCACTGTACTCCAGCCTGGGTGACAAAGGGGGAGACTCCGTTTAAAGTAAATAAACAAATAAAAATTTGGTGGTGGTGGTAGAAGTAGTAACTCAGTAAATATTTTAAGAGTAAAGCTTTAATCAAGAAATAATCCTGTTGCTTCACTGATCACCTAATATATGGGAAAGATCCTAGGGTTTGAAGTTGTACTGACTAGAGTTTTCCCATTTTCTCTGTGAATTTGCATGT